AGACCCAGCCTTCCCAGTGTAGGTGGGCCAGGTCCTCCGAAAGACCCAGCCTTCCCAGTGTAGGTGGGCCAGGTCCTCAGTAAACTGTGAAGACCAGAAAAAAGAGGCTGTGTTTTGGATGGTCTTGGCTCCCGTCTTTACCCCGCTGTACATCCTGTCGCCTACCAACTGTGATGACACTAAACAGAAGCATCATTAGATATAAAGTAGAAAAATATCAATATATTAGTAATTAATATCACAAAACAATAAAATTACCATCGAGGTAAAATTTGAAGAACTAATGGACCCGCTGTAGGTGCATGTTTATTTCTTTATACCAGCTTGATTTTTCTGACAAGAATAATATCTAAAACATGTTTATACACATCACAAAATATTATTTTTTATACTGTAAGAAAAACTGTGTTGTTTTACTGAAACCATGTCTCAACCAGGCATAAACCACATGAATGTTGAAATGATTAACAACCACCAGTACTGGTTCTGAACGGTGATTTAATGCTTCAAGCAGCAGCAACATCCAGGCCAAAGCCCAGAAGTACAACCAGGTTTATGAGATGTGTTCAGCATCTGGTTCTGCCCAGCACAGACCTGCAGCTGGAACCAGATCCTCAAACAGAAAGAACTCTGTACTGTTTAAATCAACAGTTTCTATGTGTTGTCTCCAAGCATGTAGCTAAAACTACTTGAGTCCAGGCATAACAAAAATCACATAATAGTTTATAGAAACCAGTAATTACCTTTGACAGGGCTGCAGCCCTACATGTTTTACATGTTTCCTGCTCCAACACACCTGATTCAGTCACTGAACCTCCTCTTCATGTTCTGCAGTACGGAGGACCGACACTGACATAATTAGAAATAAAAGCAGAAATAGATAAATGAACCTTTAAATAAATTAATACATTTAAAATGCACCAAATAAATTAAAAAGGAGAACATTACCTCAAGTTTTATAATTTAATTGATCATCAGATTTATTTTTCCAGCTTAGTTCCCATAAATTATATATTTTAACACAATTTAAATTTTAACGTTTTTAATATATATTGTCCATAGTTTTCCTTTTACTTATACATTCATTTGTGTCTCTTGAATGCTTAAATTGAATTATTTTTGTTATTTTGTCCAACAAGTCTTTTTATTTCTACGTGTTACATGATTGTGTTGCTGCAGTTTAGCTTAAAGTTTAGTTAAAATAAATGCACAGCTAATAAACTTTAAACTTTTAGCTAAACTGAGGCACAAGCATGCAACACATAGAAATAAAAAGACCTGTTGGGAAAAATATTTAAGTATAAACATTTGACACACAAATGCATGTACAAGTAAAACAAAAACCAATTAATATATATTTTTAAAAACAATAAATATTAAATAATG